AACATCACAATCAAAATGTAAAAAGAATGAGGCAAAGCTTATCAATGATAATGACCAAAAATATGATACCAAGATTTGACCCTAATGTTGTATTATTTGGCTATGGGTCCTACTCTATGTTGTGGTACATTTTGACAATGACTAGAGGGGAATTATAATTTAATACTCCCTCAATTTCACAAATAATGATGTAGTTTGACTTGACACAAAGTTTAAGAAAACAAAGAACATTTTTGAATTTTGGGATTCTAAATTAAGGTTATGCCAAATGTACAAAATTGGCCTTTAATATTGTGGCCTTAAACATGCCACGTGGAAAACTGAAATTAAAATGTTACCAAAAAAAGAAAAAAGGTCATTCTTTTTAAAACAAACTAAAAAGAAAAGAAGATCATTCTTTTTTAAACGGAGGAGTACTCAATTTCGAGAAGATACTATCATTGATTTTAGAATCTAAATTCTTGGAAGATACCATCTATGTGGGACTTCCTTAACTTTGGAATCTAGGCTTACTTCCAAAATTCTTTTTCCTTTCAACTTTAAAGGACAATTTAAGTATTATGATGAAAAGATGAAATTTTATTTTTTTAAAAATTCATATAATTCACATGAGAGTAAGGAAGACTAATGATATCATTCCTACAAAAGGTTGTAATTACCTTGTATGCGTTTGATATTGAGCATATTTATGCATGTCTCGATACGATTTTATTCATATTTTTACCACTTTAGATTGTATTTTATATTGCATAGGTGGTTTGTGAAACAAACTCAATTCCAACAAAAGCACTTTTATATATATTAATCACTCAATACGAGTTACAATATAAAATACGCACAACAAAGTAACAATACACTAACTAAGGCGAGATAAACTGAGAAAGAAGTAACCAGAAAGGGGATGAGATACACGACCATAGAAAGGTGATGAGAGGAGCAGAAAGCCAAGGCTTCACATAATAATTGCATAACCCTTCTTCTAACTTCTGGTCCTTTTTAACAAAGTGTAAATGGGCCTGGATCCCATATAATCCTTTGTGAAGGCCTGGCCCGATTGCTTTTACTCGGCCCAATATCTATTTGTGTGATATCCTTGTTGGTATCCCTATTGGGCTGG